GCAGATGAGGATACAGTGGGAAATAGACCTGTATCTGATTTCTAGACCCTAATGTCCATCCAGCTCTTCTCATTTGTCCTGAATACTTACTTGTCACTCTTAGGAAGCAGGGGTTTTTACAGTTTACAATCATTTCTTCAGATGAAAATCAGCTGCAATTACTGTGATGCTGATCTGGTTGAAGAGGAGAAGCGCTCAGAGGTCTTCCTCCTCCCACCCTTCATCCCCAACCAGATGGTTTCCCACCGAACCTCCAGGGCAGCACAAAGAAGTTTAAAAGTCCACCTAGTAGACCATGAAATTAGCTCCTAACAACAGCACAGCCCTCCACCCTCACAACATAGGCTTTCTTCCATATAAACGCCCTGAGGACAGCACCCCAGCACTCAGCACAGTTCTTGACACTCATCAACACACATCATTACTTTTTGCATAAATGAATGAGGAAGGGAAGGGAGCTGTCTGACCATAGTAAAAAGATCACAGGTTGAATGAGGAGAACCAGGGTTCCCAGCCCACCTCTAGCCCTGACCAGCAGTGTTATTAAGGCAGGTAACTGACCTCCATTCCTTCACCCAGGAAGTGAGAACCTAGATGCTCTTCACGGTTTCATCCATCTCCAGCATTCCATGATGCAGGACATACCTGTTCTCTGTCATTGCAATCGGGGCCACAAAGCGCCAGGTACCTCTGCTAACCTTGTCTTTTCTTCCAGGTGGAAAGGGGAAAACGTGGCCACCACCGAAGTCGCTGACATCGTAGGCCTGGTTGATTTCATCCAGGAGGTGAATGTTTATGGAGTGCCTGTGCCAGGTACATACAAGATCCTGTAAATCTATGCCTAAGTGCATAGAGCAACTGATATAATTTAAACCTCAGGGCCAAGTTTGGTATTGCATTCTCCTGCCAGATAGAGAATTAAATAACTCTTTCAACCTGCAGGAAGTAAGGAGCTATGTGTGATTTATGTCCCATTATCACAGCCAACTTGGTACATCTGGACCCGACCGTCCTAGTGGTTCAGCTCCAGTTGTTCTTGGGCTCTTGAGTAAATCTCAGCGGCACAGGGTCCCTGCATTTGGTATGCTTTGAGAAAAGAAGTCATGCTTGAGGGCTAAGGAAAGTGTTTTGGCTTCTGAACTAGGAGGCACAAATAAGAGCAAGCGCAGTTGCAAGGAGGAGAAGCTGGGAAGCAGTTGATTCTGTCCAACCTCTTGTGTGTGTGTGTGTGTGTGTTTTGTTTTGTTTTGTTTTGTTTACAATAGGGTATGTTGCATGCCAGAGAGACAGAAAGTGAGAAATCACCCCCGAGAGGGGATGGCCACGCCGCAATCCCTTCTCCCCCATTCTCATCTCGGGATCTTGGGCACATACACATGTGCACCTGGCATGAGTTTTAAGTCTCAGTTCTGGGACTTGAGCCGTAGTCGACTATGTGGTATCCAGCAAAGTAACCATTACACCATCTGCAGGTCCCCAATGACTTCTTTTTAAGAAGGCCCCTACCATATCCTACTGCACTGTCTTTTTTTGTTGTTATTTATCCCATAAAAGAGAGAAACAGATAAAAAGACAAACAGGTATCCCCACAGGGTATTCATGCCACAATCCACTCCCAGCGTCAGCTGACCTAGGTCATGGCACGCTTGTGCCCATTGTTACAGGGAGGTCCCGGACACAGCCCGGGACCTTTCATGTGGATCCAGTCGGTTTCCTACTAGCTGCACCACCGCTCACCCACCCGCAGACTGAATTTCACAATCATCACACACAGTGTCGTCCCTGCAACTTTGTCTGTAGATCTGCTTTTGTCAGCAGTGTGGGGGGCAAGGCCATGATCTCACCTTAAGTCCTGGCTCCAGTATCTGCTGGTTGTTTGACTTATGGCAAACATGAAAATGAGGTATAATACCAGCTCTACAGTTAAGGTTGTCAAGAGAATAAGTTCATTTTCATTACATAAATGCGAAACATGTATTTATGAAATACATACCTGAGGGTTGTCATGATAATAAATCATGTTAGTTATAGGTGTCAGGATGCAGACCTCGAATCAGTGTTCAAATCCAAGACATTGGGGCTATTCATATTCCCTCAGAAGTCAGTATTTCAGATTCCCACCCATATTTAAAGTAGAAATCTAGGGGCCAGCTCTGTGGCCTGGTGGTTAAGGCAATCAGATCCCATGTGGCCAACCTCAATGGTTCAAATTCTCAACCTAGTGGCTTGAGAAACATGCCAAGCACATGTGTGTGCCCAGAATCCCAACAGGGAGAAATGGAGAAGATAATGCAACGTGATCATACCCCATTGGTAGGTGCTTTCGCCTCTCTCGCTCTCACTTGCTCTCTCTCGCTCAGGCACTCTCTGTCTCTCTGTCTGTCTCTCTCTCTCTCGCAAGCACACATGCCCTCTGACAATTTTTTTAAGTAGAAATCCACAAGTCCCTTTTCCTAAGCTGTAATAGTTTCACATGACCTTATCCTTTTTATTTATTTATTTGAGAGGTTCTTTGCTATAGGGTGTGTTCGCTCGCCAGACAGACAGAGAGAGACAGAGAGACAGAAAGCGAGAAATCACCCCCACAGGGGGATGGCCACGCTGCAATCCCTTCTCCTCCATTCTCCACTCGGGATCTTGGGCACGCACGCACACGCGCCTGGTGTGAGTTTAAGCCACCGAGTCTGGGACTCTAACCGCAGTCAGCTACATGGGAATCCAGTGACATAGCCATTACGCTAACTGCTGGTCCCTATTTATTTTTGAAATATGTGAGAAATTCTTTTGCCTGTTCCTCTCCAGCCCTGTGACAATGACACAGTGAGCAGTAGTGCCACAGCTGGGTTACAGCCACACAATGTGAGGAGATACAGAGAGCCCCTCATGTTGGTCCTGGAAACACACAGGACCTTAGGATGAGTAACAGCAGGGTCTCCTCATGGCTGTCAGCCATCACACGAACCCATCCCGGAATGTTGTGTGTGTTTCTAAATGCTTAATTTTAAAAGGGTAGCTACATGAAATATGTATGTGAAGGTGAGAGAATCCAGAAAATGGAATAGAAAGATCTAGCCCTGTGTTCCTTAAAGTGGGGTCCCCAGAGCAAGCATCAACATCACCCAGGAGCTTATTAGCGTGCAGTTTCTTGGCCGACCTCAGACCTATTGACTTGAAATCCCTGGAGTGGAGCCCAAGAAGCTAGGTTTTCAAAAACCCTCTAATGATACTTAAAAACACAAAAGTCTGATTTGGTGGTCATGAAAATATTCTAGAATTAGAAATTGGTGATGATTGCAGAATATTGTGAATATACTAAATACCACTTTCCAGTGGTTAAAAGGATGGGTTTGTTGTTGTTGTTGTTTGTTATATGTTGTTGTTGGAGAGGTTATTTTGCTACAGGGCTCGTGTTCTCGCCAGGAAGACAGAGACAGAGAGACAGAAAGTGAGAAATCAGCCCCCAGGGGTGATGGCCGCCGCAATCCCTTCTCCTCCATTCTCCTCTCGGGATCTTGGGCATGCATGCACACGCGCCAAGCACAGGACTCAAACCATGGTTGACTACATGGGAGTCCAGCGACATAGCCATTACACTAACTGCTGGTCCCAAGGATAGGTTTATTAATTGCCAGAAGGCATATGTGCTCGTAGAGGATGGGGTTGGGGGAGAAAGCGCCTCCCAACAAGGCATAATCATGCTGCAATCCCTTCTCCATTTCTCTATCTGTCAGGGTGTGGGGCCATGCTCACACATGTGCCTGGCAGTCTGTTTTTCAAGCCACCTGGGCCAGGATTTGAAATGTGCAGTTGGCCATGTGGGATCCAGCTTCCTAAACCATTAGGCGATAGGGTCATCTCTAAAATGATGAGTTTTAGATTATGTATATCTTAAGTTCATTAAAAAGTAAACCCTCTTGGGGCTGGCAGTTGGTGTGGTGGTTAAGGAGCTAGACTCCCACACGGCTGACTGTGGGTAGAGTCCCGGACCTCACAGCTTGCTTTCTCACTTTCTCTCTGCCTTTCTCTGGTCAATTTTTTAAAATAATAATGAATAAAGTTAAGCAATTCTTTTTTTGTTTTGAGAGGCTTTTGCTATAGGGTGCATGTGCTCGCCAGACAGAGACAGAAAGTCAGAAAGTGAGAAATCACCCCCCAGGGGGAATGGCCACACCGCAATCCCTTCTCCTCTATTCTCCTCTCAGGATCTTGGGCACGCACGCACACACGTCCAGCGTGAGTTTTAAGCCACCGGGTCCGGGACACGAACCGTGGTCAACTACATGGAGTCCAGCGACATAGCCATTACTCTAACTGCTGGTCCCTAAAGTTAAGTAATTCTTTAAAAAAAAAATAAATAAAAGTGAACCTACTTAAGTCTGAGAAGCACTAAAGCCCAGTAGTTCTGAAAATTTGGCCAACCATCAGAATCAACTTTAAAGCCCAGATTTAATGAATCAGAACTACTAGTGTTTTTTACTCAGAATGTGCCTTTTTTTTTTTTTTTTTTTAATTCCCAAGTGAGTGTTACAATCAGGAAGGTTTGGGAGCCACTGAAATAGAACAAAGAAGGCAAGGCTAATTGTCTTTAAATGGCTGGAAACCAGTCAGGTAGAACGAGCAACAGATGTGTTGCATGTTGTTCCAGCAATCAAAAAGAACTAAAACTGACAGATTGAAATGACCAGGGAGCAAATTTTACCCCTAGAACTCCTCTGTAGCCAGAGGGACCAATAATAGGATGGGCCTGTCTCCTGGGGTAGAAAATGCCCCACCAGCTGTGGCATGTAAGGAGTGTCTGTCCACTTGGAATCCTGGGAGAATTCTTACAACAGTGAAGGATTAGAGGTGAACACTGAAGGACTCCTGACTTCCAGATTCTGTGATTCTCAGAGCCACGCTTGCTGCTGTCTGGCCTCCCAGTGACAGAGCCCAGCCCCATTCCGGCCTGGAAATACAGCAGGCCTAAGTAAGCCATTGGTTCCCTGCAGTGATCTGAGCAAGGTCACAGGTCTCACCTTTGGACCTAGAATGGATTTGACTTCTTCTGGGTGTCACACCAGAGCTGCCCAACTACTCTAGAACATTCTATTCTCAATAGAACTTTCTGTAATGATAAAAATATTCTGTTCTCTGTACTGTCCGTTATGGACAATAACCATCACGTGGCTACTGAACATGACTAGTATAACTGAAAAACTGAATTTTTCATTTTATTTCAATATAATTAATTTTGCTTTACTCACCACATGTGATCAAGGGCTTGTCATATTGGATAGCACGAAGCCAGGAACTGCCGGTCAGACTTTAGACTTAGCCCAGAACTGCCGTAGAGTGGAACCTGACCCCTAGAGCCGAACTAGTCTCAAATTAAACTGTGGGAGTCAGGGCAGAGGTCTGACACCCAGCAGGCCCATTTGCCCATTGGTCTGGCTTCGCCACCACCAGAGTAAGAAGAAGGAGTCAGTCAGTGCAGAGGATTTCTGTTGCCTCAGTCCCTGCCTTCATTCTAAAAGGAACTTACTGGAGGGAACCAGCAGTTAGCGTAATGGCTATGTCGCTGGACTCCCACGTAGTCGACCGCGGTTCGCGTCCCGGACCTGGTGGCTTAAAACTCATGCTGGGCGCGTGTGCGTGCATGCCCAAGATCCCGAGAGGAGAATGGAGGAGAAGGGATTGCGGCGTGACCATCCCCTCTAGGGGGTGATTTCTCGCTTTCTGTCTCTATGTCTCTCTCTGTCTGGAGAACGCACGCGCCCTATAGCGAGAACCTCTCAAAAAAAAAAAAGAACTTACTGGAGACATTTGAAGATTCCAGAGACAGGTGCCAAGGACCCCTAAAGAAAGAGGTCTGATGTCCTTCCTCCCTCCCTCAGTCAGAGGCAAACCAAGTAAAAAAAAAAAAATTCTTTTTTTTTCCTTTTGTTGTTTGGACTCGTTAGAGTTATACGTAAACACACAATCACCATGGGAGAGATTTCGAAAGCTGGGGCCCAAGTGACCATGGGCGGCTCCTTCCCCCTCTCTGATTACACTAAGTAGTTCAGGGAAGTGGACTTGAACTCCCGCTGGGTCTGCTGGATTGGGTAGAAAACATATTAATACCTAATTACAACTGCCCTCACAAGAAAACAATGTCAACTGTTCTAAACGCTTCTCTACCAATGGCTGCTGTCAGGATCTGTTTTCCTCGTGGAGTGTACATCCTCTTAGATCGAAAGGCATCAAAGAGAGGGTACAGAATAGCTCACCTCTGACCCCTCTACCTTCACCTGTCTCCCGGCTTCTCTGAAATGCAAAGAGGCAAAGCTATTAGGAAACCTTGATTAAATAACTAAATCTCAAAGGTGGTGTTTGTGCCCGGAGGTGCAGGAGACCTGACATTGCAACCCAAGGAACAACTTGAGCTCAGTTACTCATGACAGTGGAGCCAGGACTTTTCACTGGAGTCAAAAACACCGCCGTTGGGACCAGCAGTTAGTGTAATAGCTATGTCGCTGGACTCCCATGTAGTTGACCAAAGTTCGAGTCCCTGACCCAGTGGCTTAAACTCACACCTGGTGCATGTGCGTGCGTGCCCGAGATCCCGAGAGGAGAATGGAGGAGAAGGGATTGCGGCGTGACCATCCCCCCTGGTAACACCACCATTAGCCACCAGTTTGACTTGTTTCCCCTTCAGATGTTTTTAATAGTAGCTGCTAAGAAAAAAGATGGTGATGGGTACAAACGCAGGATCTGGAGCCAGCCTGCCAGGATTCAGTTACTAACCATGCCTGGTATTTGCTGCCTGATGGAACAAATCTTGTCTTTAAGCCTGAGTTTCTTCATCTGTAAAACGGAGAGGTAACATTGGAACCTCTTTTCTTTTTTTTTTTCTTTTTTTTTTTTTTGCTATAGGGTGCATGCACTCACCAGAAAGACAGAGACAGAGAGACAGAAAGCAAGAGATCACCCCCCGGGTGAGTGACCACGCCATCTGCTGGTTCCTATATTGGTTCCTCTTCTAAGGCTGTTATGAGAGTTAAATGAGATAATCCATAAAACACACTTAGTATAGGGCCTGGCATATAATAAAGATGTAATCAGCTATTACTTTTTGTATTAGTATATTCACTTTAGAATAACTTTGACAGGGCTGGTTAAGACACTGGACTCCCACATGGTCAGCCATGGCTCGAGTCCCAGACCCAGCAGCTTGAAACTCAGGCCAGGCATGTGTATGTGTGTGTGTGTGCCCAAAATCCCGCGAGGAGACTGGAGGAGAAGGGATTGCAGCATGGCCATCCCCTCTGGAGGAGGCAGGGAGGCTGAGGGGATTTTTCTCTTCTGTCTCTCTGTCTTTCTCTGTCTCTCCGGCAGGCACACGTGCCCTATAGCAAAAATGGCTCAAAAAAAAAAAAAAAGGAATAACTTCAACATATATCTGAAATAAAAATCCCGACTATTCAAAAGACACTCATACCATTATGTTATCTCAGTCCATGTTCTTTTTTTTTTTTTTTGGAGAGGTTTTTCGCTATAGGGCATGTGCACTCGCCAGACAGACAGAGAGAGACATAGAGACAGAAAGTGAGAAATCACCCCCCAGGGGGGATGGTCACGCCGCAATCCCTTCTCCTCCATTCTCCTCTCGGGATCTTGGGCACGCACGCACACGCGCCCAGCATGAGTTTTAAGCCACCAGGTCCGGGATGCAAACCGCGGTCGACTACGTGGGAGTCCAGCGACATAGCCATTACGCTAACTGCTGGTTCCCTCAGTCCATGTTCTTTGAACTAGCAAGGTATCACAAATAAAATACATATCTACACCAAATCTAATTTTTTTCTTACTTGATTTCCAGGTCATGAGGGTCGGATTGGCATGGCCTCAATCAAGATGAAAGAAAATCATGAATTTGATGGGAAGAAACTCTTTCAGCACATTGCTGATTACCTGCCTGGTTATGCAAGGCCTCGGTTTCTAAGAATACAGGTGAGACTTCTTGTTATCAGGGTCAACTATCTTCTCCCTTGGAGATCCCTGTCTCTTAGGAAACAGCTCTCCTTCTCCGAAGGTGACCACATTCGCCAAATTTTCACTACCCTTTCCAAGAAGCTCAGAATGAAGTGTTGTGGGTCAATAAGGAAAGAGAAGTAAAATATAGCTAAGAAATCCAATTCTAATCCCTTTCTCCCTAAAGCCAGTTCAGTCAGCAACAGCCTTAACAAATAACGCTCAAAGTCTGTGTTCGACGCGTTATGACAGACACTTAAAATAAAAACACTCTGACCCCCTTACTTGCTTATAGTTTTAAAGAATGGAAAATTCCACTGGAGTCCTACACCTTTCTATCATGTGAAATGGGCATCATTGACCAGTTGGAATTTCTTAAAACTTAACTATCACTGCTACAGGGATATATTTTTCTTCCTCAACCATTAACCCTTGGGTTAGTTTAACACTCTCACTCTGGGACTTTGAGCTCTGTGATTCTGTAGCTGAAGAATTGAGAAAGAAGTGTTAGGATTCCAGATACTATTGATCTTTGTAAAGCACTTACATTCGTTTTGCAACTAAATGGTAAAACAACAGGAAAATCAACAGCCTCAGATATTTCAATTAGCTTATTAATTGAAGGGGGAGAAAAGCCTTCAGCCTAATGGACAAAGGATGTAAAAACAGAGTTGTCAGTGTGCCAGTGCTTCCCCTCCCACGCACACCATTAGGGTATTCCAGTAATACCCGAAGCTTACCTAGCAGCAGACAACGCTCCTCGGCGTGGAAATCTAAGTTACCTCGCTTTGGGCAGCTCTCCACTTCCCACCTAGGATCCTAAAGACTTCAAGGCCACCTGGTGGTGTGCTGATTACAGTAGGTGAATCCCACATGGCTAATGGCATGGTTAGAACCCCTTGATAAACACCCTGGGTGCGTGTGCATGAGTGCAGGCCTAAAACCCAGAAAGGAGAATGGAGAAGGGATTGTGGCATGGCCACCTCCCCAGGGCGGGGTTCTCACTCTCTGTTTCTTCTCCCCCACCCCCCACCCCCAGCACAGGAGCTCTGTAACAAAAAAATGTTTTCATTAAAAAGAAAGGAAAAACACCTCACTCAGGGCCCCCTAGTGGAGACTCGGAAAACAGGACGTATAATAACAGAAAACTCATTTCGCAGTTCTCCCCCAAGGCATGAGTTATCAGATCCCCATGCCTGACTTCTGCCCCTCACCCTGCACCCTAATCTGTTGCAAAATACAACCACAAGTGGATCATTTGATGTCTTTCAGGACTCCATTGAGATCACTGGAACGTTTAAACACCGCAAAGTGAACCTCATGGAGGAGGGCTTTAACCCAGCAGTCATCAAAGACGCCTTGTATTTCTTAGACGACACAGCAAAAATGTACGTGCCTATGACGGAGGACATTTATAATGCCATAAGAGATAAAACTCTGAAACTCTGAGTACTTCCAGGAGGAAAACTGGTAATATTTTCAGAACGACCCTGAATGGACCTAGTACAGCCACTTGATATAATCCAACTTTAATTTGATTGAAAATCATGAGGTGCATTTTTCTAGGAAATTATGCATACCAATAAGTATGCATACCAATTTGTTTTAATTACACCTGAACCTTTGCAAGTGAAAAGATTTAGAGATAATTACTTTTCAATGTGCACTTACTATTTGCATTTGCAAACCGAGCTTATTGGAGGGAGGAAGTTATTTTTTTAAATATGTAATAAAATAGATGAATACCCATATATGAGATGGCACTGTCTCTCTCGTGTTCTTTCCTGACATTATGCTAAACTCAGACTCTATGTCAGTTACTTCAAAGCCTGAGAGCCTTGTTGACAACTTTTCACAGGTGTCCCACTCATCCATGGGAATGTTTCTAGGTCAAAGTGCAGTGGGCAGGGAGGGCAGATAAGCAGTGGACAACCTGAGGGAATTCCAGCCCAGTAGAAAGTGGCCAGCTCTCCCCCCCGCCCCCCCGCCGCCCGCCCCAATGAACATA